CCTACACCCCCCCCCCCCCCCCCCCCACCCCCCCCCCCCCCCACCCCACCAACCCGCCCCCCCCCCCCCACCCCCCCCCCCCCCCCCCCCCCCCCCCCCCACCCCCCCCCCACTCCCACCCCCCCCACCCCCCCCCCCCCCCCCCCCCCCCCACCCCCCCCCCCCACACCCCTCCCCCCCCCCCCCCCCCGCCCCACGCCCCCCCCCCGCCACCCATCCACCCCCCCCCCCCCCCCTACCCCGCCCACCTACCGCCCCAATCCCCCCCCTACCCCCCCACCCCCCCTCTCCGCCTCCCCCCCCCCCCCCCCCCCCCACCCCGCCCACCCCCCCCCCCCCCCCCACACCCCCCCCCCCCCACCCAACTCTCCCCCCCCCCTCCCCCCCCCCCCCGCCCCCCCCCTCCTCCCAACCCCCCCCCCCCCCCCCCCCCCCCCCTCACCCCCCCCACACCCCCCCCCCCCCGCCCCCCACCCACCCCACCCCCCCCCACACATTCCTCCACAGATGGAGAGAAGTAAGGAGTCTGTTCAAAGAATGTGACATTGGTAGACTTGTAATACTTCTTAGTTTCAGGAGAATAACACCGATATCCTTTTTGAAGTCGAGAATAGCCTAAGAAGACAAATTTGAGAGCGCGAGCGGAGAGTTTGTCTAAACCTGGAGACATGTCATGAACAAAACATACACAACCAAACACTCAGGGAGATGTATGAAAGAGGATCAGTAGGAAACAAAATGGAGAAAGGGACTTTAGTATCAAGAGAGGAGGAGGTCATCCTATTAATAAGATAACATGCAGTTAAGATGTCATCTCCCAAGTATTGGACAGGAATATGGGCACCAAGCAAAAAGGTACGAGCAGTTTCAACCAAGTGTCCTATTTTTTTCGTTCTGGAAGGAGCTATGCATTTTGTTGTGGGGTAAATGAAGGACAAGTAGACTGATGTAAGATACCATGGGAACTCAAGATTACGAAAAGGGAGATGAGAATACTCTTTTGATTATCCACTTCCTTTAATATTTTGATTACTTGCCCAAATTGCTTCTTGATTTCATTCAAAAGGATGTAAAAGATACGCTAACATTCAGAACAATTTTTCTAAGATTAAACCCAAGTACATCTTGAAATATTCCAATCATAAGGATAACAAAATATCTAAAACCAAAGGAGGAGATACGACTAGGTCCCCATATATCGAATGTGATGATGGAAAAACTAGAATTAACCATATTGATTGAGACCTTTTAGGAAGGAAGATTCTACCCAATGTGTTTTCCTAATTGACATGACTCACATTCTAGTTGTGAGACCACTAAGTTTCACAGGACACTCTTTTTTTAATTTGGACAAATGAGGATGGCAAGATCTATCAGTAGCACTTTATGATTAGGCGACGCACCACAAGACACCCTTGGACGAGATCCAAAATGGTATATCCCGCCAGTCTTCATATCCTTCTCCATCTGTCTTCCCCTCCCTCCCCGACCAACGCTCCCTGTATAACAAGGATTTATGATCAAAGGTTTTGAACAATTTAACATTTTAGTCAACTGGCTTAGGAAATTAAATTAAACAGGACAATTAAGGGACAAAAGGACTGAGTTGAGATTGAGGAGGTAGACAAGAAACATGACCGACTCCTTTGGAAGAAGTGTTTAGATCCATTTGCAAGGGTTATGAAATGAGGGTATTTTTTTTTCTCGAAGGAAATATATGAGAACAAATAAGTATTACAGAATGTGGGATCAGAAGCACCTGAGTCAATTCCCATTTCAATTTTGACATCCATAGATTGAGAAACGCAGGCTGTTGATTGTATGGGGGAGAATTGAGATGGTTGTGCCAAGCTTTAAGACTTTAACCTTAATACTCTTGATATTCTCCCTCAGAAACATAGAAGTGGAGGTTTTCAGTTTTCGATGGAAGTTTCAGTCTTGAAATATTGGCGGGTTTTGGAAGAGAAACCATGTAAGGAGTAGCAATTCTCTTGAGTAATGACCCATCCTTTTACAATAGGTGCATGAGTACGTCCCCGACCGGAATACCATCGTCCTCACTCCTCTAAGTGCCAGCGTCCTCCTCTTCCTCGTGTTGGCAACCATGACAGAGTGGTTCCACTAGTTCATGTGCGCTTCTTGATTTGAGATACCGGGACAACGCAGAAGGCGAGTGGTCAATGTTTCCATAGAGGGGACCTACATGACTAGTTAGAAGTTGATCTCTGAATGATCACAATTGGGATGGTAGGGCCGAAGATCACACCATGTAAAATTTGTCAGTTTCTTTTTGATATCCTCTAATGGATCTACTTCCAAAAACATCCTAAGTTCGTCTCTTCGACAGATCAGATTGGGCTTCAGCCATTAAGACAACCATATCATTGTCTGTCCTTTTAAGAGATGCAGGCTTGGTTTGTAGATGGAAAATGTCATAGAGACGTTGAATATCGTTGGCCTAAATGCTTTGGTCTTTCTTTCAAAAGGAGTGACAAGTTTTGAAGCCCTCAAAGATCAGAAGTTTGGGGGTTCCACTTATTTGTCATAGACAGGGGGGGCCACGGGGACAACTGGAAATCTGCTTGTTTCCACGATCACTTTTTCATAATGCCACAGGGGCTTCAAAAAAGCAATCAAAAACTCGCTCAATGTGGTCATAATGGCCCTTGGCCAGGAACCACATTTCAAACGTCAGTAGAACCCACATGATAGATGTAATTTTTTCCATTACTTCTCGGGTAATTGATGGACTTCCAGAGAATGAAAGATTATGCCAGACGCCATTTCTGAAGAGACTAATAATACTAGCGAGGAACAGAAAACCGCTAAGGGTTTAGACGAAGAAACTGTGACAGTGATTGACCGACGGTGGCCGCAACGGCTGGGCTGTGGTCGGCAAAGTTTGGGTCCTGGCTTCTGACTTTGTCCACTTTTTGTACGGTGGTTCCGGCTGCATGGCAGCGGCAGGCTGCGGGGCTGACAGTGGCGGCGACGAAGAACTTGGCCCGGACAGATAATATATTACCGAGAAACAGAAACCAGAGGGGATCGCCCCCTCTAATACCAACTTAAGATTGAACTGTAAAATAATTCTAGAGGCTTGATTGATCCCTCTCCAATCTTCTTATTATAAAAATAACTTGATACACAATACTGATAAATAGGGTCACCCTAGACCAATATAATCATGATAATTTAGGGTATCCTAGCCCCAATATAATCATGATAAATAGGGTAACCCTTGACACCTATAATTGATGATCAATAAGGATAAATATCCTAACATAAGTATATACAATTTATTTAAATCCTTAAACATTAAATAATAACAAAATAACAACAAACTAATATATATTATTTTTTGCCATTTCCTCTATATTTTTATTACTTGATTTATTATTTATTTTTTATATCATATTTCAACCTTATTATTATCTATATATATATATATATTATATATATATCATATATATATATATATAGTAAGCAATCTAAAATGATTTATCTTAAAAAAAAATTAGAACATTAATCATTCACTATCTGCTATCGTACTTTTGTGGTCAACAGAACTATGGATATAAGATTAATCATTCATACCATATAAGAATGTAAGCATAGGGCATAATTCCCTAGAAACAAAAGGTGATGATTACCCAAAGTATTACAAAATGTAGGATGAAATTTTTGACTTTTCACAAAACGCACTATAAATTTGCTTTGTCCACCTATCTGTGTCAGAGTGGCTAAATAACCTGGTTGTGTTGCCCTAATGGATTCCTCTGCCTTTGTTACAATGTGTAAATACTTTCAAACTATGTTGGCTCAAATAGGTTGCTCTAAGAACTAAGGTTTTCCGAAGTTTTGCATATGGCTATCATGTGGCAACCAAGCTGCCTTCATATTGTATTAAGCCCAATATTTAATTTTTAGACCAAACACATTGAGATAAAATGTTATTTAGGGGAAAGTTCTTATTTGGAGACATGACTGTGGATTTGTCAATTCAAATGATCTAGCATATGTTCTCTCAAAGTGGTAGAGGTTTTTGCATTAGTTATATATTTAATAGGCTTGGTATACATACAGTTTGTAAACATTATATAAATAGTTGTAAAAGATATTTATGAGATATTTTGAGTTGTACATGTTTATGTAAATTATTGTAACTATGAATCGGATCGACGTATTATGAATAAGAACCTGTGTGTAAATTTGATGTAGAATTCATCACATGTCTCTTGTTTTTTCTTCCTTAACAGTTTCCTACTGTAACACAACACACGCATCTAATGATATGGCCTTATCTTAACTATGAACCTGCTTCAGGTGTTTGTAGTGATCCAGATTACGCTTCAATCAGACTCATCTCTTCACCTTTGTTTTAGATTTTCACTAGACAAACATCCTGTTTGGCATTTATAGATTCATACAATCACTCTGTATTTGGATGAAAATTCAAAGGTACCGTGTTGAGGGCCGATCTATGTAATGTTCAAATTAAAATATGTCACAGTTAACTTAAAAATGTCTATGTAAACATTTTAATTAATAATAATAGTTGATCTTTAATAAATTTTTATTGTATTTTTTTCTTCATGAATCTAGGGTATCCCTTGGCTAAAATCCAATTACTAATGCTTTGAAGTATTGAGATTCATTTAAGGGATTCATGTCTCCCTACATATGTTACTCAATATACATGAACCAAGACTAATATTTTTTAGTAAAATTATAAGATGTATTTTTCTGTCATTTTGATGTAATGGTCAATCGCCCGGGATTTGTGCAAAATGTTGTCTGGGAAAATTAAAATTATTCTTGTGAGATACACAAGATGGGATTTTAACACCTTTATAGAAATTTTATAGATTTATTGATCTGGATTTTGACGGAAGTTAATGTTGTTCTGCTTGTTTGTTTATCTTAGATTTACAGTTACATATGTATGCTGATGTAGGGAAAAATATTGGATGACAGTATATTAATACATAACTATTCAGTTGTTTTTTATGTCCCTTAACGTCACTTGTGATATTTCTTTTAGGTTTTTGCGAGAACGGTCATCTGCAAAAATCTGGATGTGGCTTCAAGGGTTGCTCGTACTGATGCTCTGGACTGCATCACACTGGATGGTTGGCCTACATCTTTTCATTGTCTGTCTTCTGTATTTGGGCTGGTCTTGTGTTTCCCCTGACAAACTCACCAACTTATTGCAGGTGATCAAGTAAGCAAGAAAGGTAGTATGACTGGAGGATTTTATGATCACCGAAGATCAAGATTAAGGTTTATGAATATCATTACGCAGAATAAAGGCACTATTCGCATTAGAGAGGAGGAATTGGAGAAAGTTAGATTTAATCTACAGGATATCCTTTGTGTTAATAAATTTACATTAATTTTTTAATTTTTGTTTCTCTTAGGTGAAAACTCATTATTTATAAGTTGCAAATTAAATGATTGATGAAACAAAGGAAAGAACATCCAAATTATCTGGTTTACCTGATCATATTTTGGTCGGAAATAATAGTTCCAAGAGTGAGTATAAAGGAAACTTTAGTTGCATTTGTTTAATTTATGTTATGATGCCTATTTCTCTGATTAACTGCAGTTTTACCACTGTAATTTTATTCCAATTTTCTGGTTATTTGTTTTTGGTTGTTGGGGCATGTCATATTCATCTTGATGCCTTAGGTAAGATGTTTAGTGGGTAAAGGGCGATTGGTCCATAAAATTGTTTTATTTCAAATTTGTCAAGCTTAAGTTAACCATAATGAGATTCTCTACCTGGGTTTTCAGGGACAAAAGTTAAGTTTTACTGCACTATGCATTTTTCTTTGGGACTCTATTATCTAGAACTTTTTTTTTAATTATTTATTTATTTATTGATGATGGTTACTTTTCCTTTCTATGATTTATTTCCATCATCTTGTGCTAAAAGTTTTGCATGAGAGTCTCAATTTGTTTTTGTCCTGACAATGTGGGTTATGTCTATTTCTATTTTGTGAATGTCTTCTCTGATGCCTAAGCTATTCCTTGTCATGAAAGAATTTCCTCCCATTGTTTTTGCTGAATTAGTCTTACAGATAGACCAAAAGATTAATGAACTTGTGGCTGAGCAGCAGAAGATTGATGCCAAGCGTGCTCATGACAAATCTGAGATAGAACAGCTTAAGCAAGATATTGCTAATGCTAATAAGCAGAAGCAGTTGATTTCTAAAGCACTTACAAAAAAGGTGTTATGGAATTTTTAGGTTATACTTAATTATTGTCAGGGAGCTACTTTTTGGTTGTTTGTTACCTTGAGGAATTTTTCACTATTTGTTTTACCTTTTTTCTTTTATTGCTTGTAGGAGAAGTCTGTTGGGGATGTCCAGAACCAGATTGAACAGCTTAAGGCTAGTATCGCAACAAAAAATGCTGAGATGGGCACTGAGCTAATTGATCATTTAACACCAGAGGAAAAGAAACTCTTGTCAGATTTGAACCCTGAAATCAAAGACCTTAAAGAGAAGCTTGTTGCTTGCAAGACTGACCGTATTGAGGTTATTCAATCAATTGTATTTGTGTTCACAATCTTTTGAAGTTAGTATTATTATTTTGACTTGAAATTTTAACAGACTGAAGCAAGGAAAGCAGAACTGGATACCAATCTTACTACTAACCTTAGGAGAAGGAAACAAGAGCTGGAGGCTGTAATATCGGCCGTGGATTCTGACTCTCTGGTTGGTGAGGCTGAATCCAAGGGGCAGGAGCTTAGTGATGCTAAAATGTTGGTTGATGACTTAACAGAGCAGCTTAGAAGTAAGCTCTTCAAATTTTAAATCAATATAGTCTTTTATCTATATCTTGATTATGTTTCCTTTTCTGATCAAATTTCATCCTCAGGAGTTGCTGAAAATATAAATGATCGAATGAGGCAAATTACAAAGATTAAAGATGAATTGAATAAATTGAAGGTAATGATTTTTTTAATTTGATGCTGGTTGTATGTAATTTTGCTCTAAACAACGATGAAATCTGTTGGCTGCAGTCTTTGGAGGACGAATATGAAAAGAAACTTCAGGAAGAAGCAAAAGAATTAGAGCAATTGCTGAGTAAAAAAAATACATATGCAGCTAAAGAAGAAGAGTATGCCAAGAAAATTAGGGAACTGGGACCATTGACATCAGATGCTTTTGAGGCGTAAGTATTTTCTTTCATCGTATTTTCCCCTTTTCTGTGTGCATAAGATGAATTATATTAGAGGGATATGAAAAGATTAAAAAAATGACAGTTCAGTTATATGGAAAGTATTAAAGCTCTCCATTCTCTTTATTAGCAATATCTCAGCGTAAGGAAAAGTGACAATTTTCATCCACAATGAATTTGATGTTATCACATTCTTAAGTAGTCTTGTGCTCATCAAGATTCTGCTTTGACACATGTCCAGTGAACACATTCGTTTTGCTTCATTGTCTTTAAATATGTCAGTGGCAGAAGTAACTCCTGCAGCCATGGAGACAGCTTATGAACAAACAAGAGCATAAAGTCCTTTGGAATTGTTTAGCTTTTTTTAATAGGTTAACTTGTTAGGATAGTTTAACTTATTTTTTCAGTACGCATCTGTCACCTAGGTGTAACCTTTTCAGTCTTTTTGTATGTGATGTAAGGATTGTTCTAAACAAGAATTAGCTAAAAGATAAATTAATTTCTTTAGCCTTCTTATTTTCACTGTCAAGTAAGTCCATAACAAATTTCCAAAATCGTTATCTGGATTGTTTTGTTACTTCGTTTTTTATACTTAATGGTATTCAGTCTTTCCTTGGGGTTAATCATGACTTCTATACCATGATAGTTTGAGGATCTGGCGGATATGATGCTATTACAGTTTATTTCTAGTTGTGTAGCTATATATCACTTCCTTTATGCTTTGGTTTTAGCTACCGTTAATTAATTTTTTTTCCTTTCCTCATTGCAAATGACAGGTATAGACGAAGGAATATAAAAGATTTGCACAAAATGCTGCACAGGTGCAATGAGCAATTGCAGCAGTTCAGTCATGTAAACAAGAAAGCACTGGACCAGTATATAAATTTTACAGAACAACGAGAAGAACTTCAGAAAAGACAGGCCGAACTTGATGCAGGAGATGAGGTACTTTACAGGGATTTCAATTATGAATGCCCTTTATAATTGTTTCCAGAGAAAAAAAATTGATGGCTACACTGCCTAGCATATATTTTTAGTTCTGCACTTTGCTATCTAAATGATTTGGGTGCCACTGCTCTGTAATGATTCAAATCATTGTTGTTTCTTTTTGTGCCTCTTTAGTAGGTTTTATTTACCAATCCCCTAGGAATGTTTGTATTATTTGGTTTCAAGCTTGATTTTGCTCATCAGACTGATTCCATTGCCAAGTTTTTCATTTTTTGCTATTTTGTATCATGCATTACTAACTTCTTTGACCAACTGAATAATTACAGAAAATTAGGGAGCTGATATCAGTGCTAGATCAGCGGAAGGACGAATCTATAGAACGCACTTTCAAAGGTGTTGCTAGGCATTTTCGGGAAGTATTTTCTGAACTTGTGCAGGGTGGCCATGGTCATCTGGTTATGATGAAAAAGAAGGTCTGTGATGGTTCTTGAATTATACATTAAGTTCTTTTTTGCATAGGAAAAAGTAGTGCTTTATAGCTCGTTCTGTTTGTTCATGTTTAAAAGTTAGTGCCATTGTTCTTTTTTATGTTTTCATGTCCTATTTTCATTCTGTTGTTTCAATGTGGTGCTTGATTATTGCTTTATTTCGTTGTGCTTTGCAAAATAGTGAGGATTCTCCAGAAAGGTCATTTAGTTATCGTAATTGATATAACTGTGGTATTTCTGTATTAAATTCTGTTTCCCTCAGGATGGTGATCATGATGACGATGAAGATGAGGATGGTCCTCGTGAAGCAAATCCAGAGGGGAGAGTAGAAAAATACATTGGAGTGAAAGTGAAGGCAAGTGTATTCCTTTTGTGCCATTTTAAAAAGAAAATTAATGTAATGTTTCAACCTGAAGTCTTGTGGGTTTGTTTTGTACATTAAACAGACAAAGAAAGGTGACAGAAGCATACTGCATTAAAATGTGACAGAAGCATACTGCATTAAAATGTGACAGAAGCATACTGCATTAAAATGTGACAGAAGCATACTGCATTAAAATGTGACAGAATCATACTACATTCAGATAGCCATGCCTTATTCACTTATATTACAACTACATAGCATCTTAGTTCTGACATTTCTTGTCTCCTTATTGCTTGCAGGTCTCATTTACTGGACAAGGGGAAACACAGTCCATGAAACAGTTGTCTGGGGGTCAAAAAACTGTTGTTGCCCTTACTCTTATCTTTGCCATACAGCGATGTGATCCTGCTCCCTTTTATCTATTTGATGAGATTGATGCAGCTCTGGACCCACAGTACAGAACTGCTGTTGGAAGTATCCATATTTATGTTTGCTACCATATTGTGTGAATTGATTGGTCCTGTGCATTTCATCCATCTCTATTGACTGCATACCTCATCTTCCATTGAAAAAGTGGCTCAATTCAGAACTCTGTGGACATTTTACTGAGTGAAATGGGATGGGATGCAATGAAATGGAGTGGAATAAAGTTGTCACTTAATTGTTTGGATGCTTATTTAGGATAAAAGGTGGTTTTATATTTGTCCCCTTAAATTGGAGGGGAGGGAAAAGAAGTGGTTATTAGGACTGAATGGAATGCACTATCATTAGATTCCGTTTCATTCTATCCTATTTTACAAATTATTCTTAACTATCTCGGTAGACATGATTCGTCTCCTATATTATTTTGAAAATCTATTATCATATCTTAAAAGAGTATCCTTTAGGGTTAATTTCCCTATTTAGTATATCATGTCAAGTAAGTATATGTAAGCCATATAATGATATATAGTATCTATTCTCTCCGTTTTGGTGGTTCTGGTGAGAAAAAGCTTTTGTTATGGTTGTCTGTGTTTCTGGTGCCATTGAAATATAAAAAGTTAATTCATGCTTGTGATATTCTTTCTGAATGACACGTAGATTTCAGGGTTTTATCATGTCTCTTTTGGGATTCTTATCTATTGAAATTTAAAAAAATAATCCATGCTTGTGATATTCTTTCTGAACTGCATATATAGATTTCCTGTTATATCGTGTCCCTTTTGGGATTCTTAACTATCCGTAGATATGATTCGTCGCTTGGCTGACGTAGCAAACACTCAATTTATCACAACAACATTTCGCCCAGAGCTAGTGAAAGTTGCTGACAAAATATACGGTGTAACACATAAAAACAGGGTCAGTCGTGTTAATGTTGTATCCAAAGAAGATGCATTGGAATTTATTGAGCATGACCAGACGCACAATGCTGAATAAGGTAAGCCTTATAACTTTTCCACAATTTCTCTTTATGATTACTTTAGGGTTTGTTATGATCCCCACTTCTATTTGGGGTCATTCCTTCTCTTATTAAAAATAATTGCATTTTTATGACCTTTGTTGCATGCTTTTCATTGATAAATTACAAGGCTTTTAAGCGTCTAACTTTTCAGTCGGTTATGTTTGATCTGTTTTTGAAGTGGTGTTTATGTGCTCTTAGGTGCTTTCACTCACACGTTATGAAGTAGATGTCAACACTAGGCACTCTTGGAAGATTGTTTTTGTAGAGATTGCAGACTCAAGTTCATTCAAATTCCTCGACCTACTATTTTTCTGTCGTGTAGTGGCTGGTGTGAGGCCAACCCTTGGCCAATTCTTGTCTGTTGTAAGTTACGATTATGTGAAAGTGAATCATGATTCCAATGAACCTTTCCGAATCCTAGGGAAAAAGTACTTTATGTAATATGATTACACTATTCCTAACTCTGTAGATGGTCTTCATAATTTAGTCAATATCAACCTAAATCATAGATCTACCATCAATTTCTGAAAATATTTAGATTCATTTTTATTTTTAAATATTTGAAACAATATTCGTTCTTAAGTCTCTTCTTTAAAATAGAAATTAAATTGAAAATTAAATGCTTTTAAATAAATGTATTCTGAAAAAGAACTTATAACTCTATTATATTTATCTATCCCAAATATTTAAATATCCCATGTACAAATAAACCGATCAAATACACTCTTTACATAAAAATGTTATAATTTAATCAAATTGTTAATTTGATTACAACGATAAAGTAAAGTAAATGTTTTCTACAATAATATTCAACTATAAATTGTTGTGCAATAAAATATAACCTTATATAATAACTAGTTTTAGAGTCTAATATTGAGTACCTTCTAGTTGATCAATGCATGATGCTTATATCTTTACAAAAATAAACTTTTGAACCTTCTTTCTTTAATTTATGTACGAAGCTAATTGTAAAGTAGTGCCATGTCTATCGGTTATAATATTTACAATATGGTTTCAGAAATTGTTTGTGATAAACAAGAAGTGTATATAAGTATATTAGCCTAAGCATAAACATATTTGATTTTTATTTTGGTTCATCCCATCATTAAATCATTAAGCGATGTTGAGTTTTTTATAATTTGTAAATGATTTTACTTACAATTATTCTTTTATGGTAGATGTGAATACACAAGTCACTTTTAAATAATTAAGTCACTTCTGGTATGAATATTCTATTATTGTTACTTTTGACAATAATAAAGGAAGTTGATTAAGATATATTAAAATTATCAAAAGAGAGGATACACAAGTATACTCTCCTTTGTTAAAAGATATCTTTCACAAAATAAAGATTTTACAATGACACACTCTCTATATCTCTATAAAGTAATATGTTATTTAATACTTATATTTGAACCTATGGCTCATGTGAAGTACGTTGTAATTGTACGTGAGATTGTTGTATAGATTATTATTCATTTGTTCTCTACGATGAAACTTCTATTTATAGACGCATTGAATAAGATTGTTGTAATTTTGCATACTAAAAGTTGTATCAAAGGTTGGTAATCCTTTTAACTAACATATATCTATATTGCAGTCAATTTATTATTCTTAAAA